TCATCGGTGTCGAAGTCTGTTGCTACGAGACAATCATGTTCGAGGACAATCTCATCTCATTAGTAATGTCGACAAACTGGATTTTGGCATCAGGTTAGTTTTATTATTATTCTTATTTCATTTTACATTTTAAACAAGACTGTTGAAATCTTAGTCAACCTTTAAAACTATATAGGAAATAGAAAAACCAATTTTTTCAAAAAAAGTCGATTTTGAATTTTTGACTAAGATTTTAATTTCTTTCCTTTAGAAAAATTAGATTCAAGGAAAAGAATTGTATTAGTAGTTAATACACTAGCTTTAGATAAATAATATAAAGTATAATTGTTAACTTTTTTTCTTACATAAAATATAGTTGTAATCGAGTCAGAGTATTAGATAACTAAGACTCCGTTTGATAACYATTTTAGCTTTTGGTTTTTCTTGTTTTTAGTTTTTGGTTTTCTGTTTTTAAAAAAAAACAAACAAAACATGTTTGGTAACCATTTTTAGTTTTGTGTTTTAAAAAAGTTAGAAAATTGAAAATACATAATAGAGAGAGAAAATTTTATGTAGAGTAGAGATGGTGTGAGTGCGAGTGAGGATGCTCTCCCTCATTCTCGGGCTCGTGAAAATTTTAGTCTCCGTCTCCACCTCGTTCTTAGTTCCGAGATGTCCTCGAGAAAAATTATCGGTTTTATAAATGTTTTTAATTATTTTTAGAATTTAAATATAAAAAATGTGTAATATATATATTGATTATTTAAAAAATGGAATTGGAGACGGGGTCGAGACGTGCATTTTCTATTCTTGGGACCCGATYCTACGGAAATTTTTGTCTTCCCCTAATATAGAGACATGAAAATAGAGATGTAAATAAACTTTTGGAAGATAAATTTTAGAGATATAAATAAAAATATTTAGAAAAAATAGTTAAAGAAAAGTTAAAGACAAAAAGAGAAAAATTTTGGAGAAAAAATAAAGTCGAGAGGAAAAAATATGTTAAAGAAAAAAAAAAGAAATTATAAAGAAAGAGAAAAATTATAGTGGAAACAAATTTAGAGATAAAAACAATATTCAAAATATAATTTTTGTATAAAATAAATAAATACAAAGATAAATAAAAGTTAAAATTGAACGAGAAAATAAAATATAATTTTTAGAAGAAAAAATAGATTACGAAGAGACATAAAAGTTATAAAATATGAAATTTTCGAAAGAAAAAAGTTATGAAAAATATTAAATTTTTGGAGAGAGAAATGAAACTAAGCTGTTAGAGAAAAAACAAAAAATACAGAAAATTTTGGAGAGACAAATAACCATAAATATTCAAAAATATGAAAATTTTAGATTGATAAAAATAAAGTTTGGAGAGAGAAATTTAGAAATAAAAAAATTTTAGAATGAAAAATAAATTTTTTATAGATAAATATGAGAAAGAAAAAAAAAGTTGAATATTAAGAGAAGAAATGAGATTTTGAAAAACAAAAACGTGTTTTTGAAAACTACTTTTTTTTTTACATAGAATTTCAAAATGGTTTTTGAAAAATAAAAAACAGAAAACAAAAAATTGAATTGATTATCAAACAACCCTGTTTTTTTAAAACTAAAAACTAAAAATGAAAAATGAAAAATGAAATGGTTATCAAATGGACCCTAAATGATGGTTCACATTTTGAAAACCTTATTTAGATATAATAATTACAATAAAACATTAAATTGTAAATTTCAAACACATTCTCATAATTATTATTAGAAATTAACAAAAAAAAATACATGATTTATCCAAGCGAGCCTAATTTAGTAATAATTGACATATATCTTCAATGAAGAGATCGTGAGTTTGTTCTCTACCTTACATGTTGTACTYTAGAAAAGAAAAAAACATGATTTGTCAGGTCATGTCTTACAAAATGAGACAAAGACAATAAATAACAATAAAAAGAACTACCATGTAGTATTGTATTTTTATGAAATTAAAAGATCTTCTTATGAAAAAAAATTTAAAGGATAGGATATATTTTTCTTTTCTTCCTTTTTTTTTAAGTTCACTCAATGCAGATATCAGTAGCATAATATAACAAATATGTCTTTTTCACTCGACTATACTTAAATTTACATGCATCAAATAGTAATTTATATTTTATGTATCTAATTATGTTCAAATTGACTATGATTAAGGTGTATATATATATGTGTGTATTTGAGTCCAACAATTGTAATGTAGGAGATTGGACCAAACTTTTGGGATCAACAATAGTTGTCTTATTCGCAATTATATTTGGAATTGGCAGATTTAGCTAACTTAAAATTATCTTACATCCGTGTAGTGTTCGCGATTATATTTGGAATTGGAACACTACACAGATGTAAGGTAATTTTATTTGCAGGTTGCCAACTAGACCCACATCAAAGTCCATGTCAAGTCGCCTGCTAGCCGTGTCACGCTAGCTACAGTTCAATAAAAACTTAAGTTAGTATTTAGTCCGAGTTGGTGTCAGGTCGAGCTTATGTAAATACAAGAGATTGCATATGTTTAAGAATAGTCTGCATCTGCCAATAGTCAAAAGATCTTCTACGGGCGGAATTCCATCTCCTGTTAGCAGATTTCTTGTCAGTCATAATCTTTTATAGATCGGAGCCACGTAGAACCCTACTTCTGGATACAATTGGCCCTTCCTCCTCATCCTCGACGTATTTGAGCTAAGATTCGAACATATGTGCTTCAACGAGGGAATACCACGTATCTACACGTGATTCTGCCCCTTAACAATACCTATTATAATACATTGCATTATTGGCAAGGTAATATTCGAAAAAAGAAACAATAATAAACAAATAACACTATAAGGTCGATGAATTTAGAACTCTCTGATTTACATCCAACGGCTCCAAATAAATCACGAGATAATCCCAACCCATGGTTGTTCCCGCAGTGGATTATTTCTCTACCATTGGATACCAAATGGAGAATAACAGGACTTGTGAACCAAGCAAAACCGGTTTCATATTTACACGGTTTTGTTATGAGTTATGGCCCACTTCCATTCCACCTATACCCCTTGCCTTTTCTCCAAAACCCCAGAAGTTAAACAGACCCCAAGGGTATTATCGTCAATTCGAAAATAGAAAATGACAAAACTCAATATTAATACAATTATTAGCTCTTCTCGATCGAATAAGAGTACCCCATCGTCGAAGGAAGTAACAGTTTCCAAGCTAAATTATAATTTTATTTCTTACATTAAATATCTTTTTACTTTTGAATAATGAAAAATAAATTAAAATTACAAAGTTAGTCATTAGACTTGGAATATTCTCTGTTTATAGTTATTCAGCTTTTAAAAGTTTAAATTGATGATAAATATTAGATAAATTGGGAGTGAATTGATATAATATCGACAAACTAATAGACATATCACATCAACAAGTACTAATGGTGTCAAACTTGAACATAAATGGGTTAATACGATAATAATCTCCTTTAAATGTCATAGGTTAAAATCTCTATTTTCTTATATGAATTGTAATATCTTAGTTACTCAAAAAAAAAAAATTGTAATATCCTCATAATAGAAATTTAAATTTGGTTAAGAGATTAATGATTTTCTCTAAAAGTTAAAGGTTCGAATCTTCGTACCTCAGTTGTTTGAACTAAAACTATACATAATAATTAAATTATATTTAATATAAATATAATGTTYATAGTTACATCATTTATTCGTCCAAAATTATACAAACACTTCTTTGCAGTCTTAAACAAACTTGTAACTTTTGATATGATGGACACTGATATGAACTTTAGAAAAAATACCAAGATTTGTTTGTTTTTATTAGGTCAAATAGTAAACTTTTGAGAGTTGTATATATATTTAGTCCAAGATATACATTTTTTTAGTTAAAAAAATGGTGAGTATTATATTTTTTTTATTACAACAACTCCAACTTATCACTAATCTATCAACCAATTTAGCCAAATCTAAGTCAAATGAGTATGTTATATCATAATTTTGTTAATGATATTAACTAAAGAAACTAAAAAAATTTAAACATAAAACAATATATAATTAAAATTTAAAAACTCAGGGAGCAAATGAGCATGTAATACTCAAAATTTATAATCTTAACTTTCTTTTCATTTGGATATTATCCATAATTTTGACTTTAATTTATTTAGTCTCTGTACTTTTTGATCTTTATATTTCTAACTTTTTCGCATATACTTTCGAAATATTTGTTTTGTTCTCTACGTTTTAAAAAAGTGACAATTTTCATCATTTCATTTTCATCTCATATCTTTCTATTAAAATTTCAACATGACATGTACTCACTAAATTTATTAAAATATAGCTATATATTTCTTTAAAGAGTTTTTATTGCGAATAAAATTTGTGTTTAAATACCAAGTCAAATATGGTTAAGTCAGAATTAGCATATATCTTCAATCAATAATTAAATTTTACCTATAGATACCAAAATTATCACTTTTTAAAAGTAAAAGTGACCGGTTTTTTTTTAAGTAGAAAAGTTGAAAGTATAGAAACTGAAATTGACTCTTTACAAAAAGTATGTAGATCAAAAATGAACTAAAACCTATTTTTCTAATTTTTTTTTAAGGAAAAACCATTTCAAATTATGAATTAGAAATAACGGATATATAATCCAACTTTAAAATAAAAAAAAGAAAGAAAATTGAAAATTATAGAAAGAAAATTAATTTGAGAGATTTTGTTTGATTGGGTAGATTTTGAAGAATCCGCAATTATGAGAAATATTTAAAAGGAAAACTGTAACGAAAAATGCTGGCCAGGCCGCTTAATTAGAAAACAGAAATAGGAGAATTTAATTAATTAAAGTAAATGTAGGGAGTAATCTCAGCGCTGAGACCGAACACCATTAATCAAGGGTCATTATTTCGTCTCCTCCAAATCACTTTTCTGACGTTTCTTTTTCCCTCTGTTTCCCTCCATAAATACCACCCCAATTCTCCCCTCTTCTTCTCACAATCTTCCCAATTCACACTCAAATTCCTTCCTTAACCCTAAAAATGGCCGCCATTACGGTTACTCTCCTCTCCATTCTCCTCTCAATGCTTGCTGTCGACGCTAGAATCCCCGGAGTTTACTCCGGCGGCCAGTGGCAGAGTGCTCACGCTACTTTCTACGGCGGAAGCGACGCCTCCGGAACCATGGGTACGCTCTCATTGATTTCTCCACAGTTGGATTTTTCAATCGAATGCTGTGTTTTCTCGAGCTTTCTCTATCGGAAGCCTTGTTATGAATGATTGTTTGAATCGATTGAGAGAGCATTGTGTGTATTTGGTCCAAATGTTGTGTTTACTTTTTCTTGAACTTTCTCTCTGGAAAACCTAGTTGTGAATGAGATCATTTCATTTGAATTGATCGACAGAGAATTGTGTATTTGTTTCAAATGTTGTGTTTGCTTTTCCTCGAACTGTCTCTCTCTCTGGAAAACCCAGTTACGAATGAACATTTGAATTGATCGAGAGAGAATTGTGTATATTTAGTTCAATTGAATAGATTTGAGAAGGAATTGAGCGTTTGTTTGATTGATTCAGGAGGTGCTTGCGGTTACGGAAACTTGTACAGCCAAGGGTACGGCGTGAACACGGCGGCGCTGAGCACCGCGTTGTTCAACAACGGTCTAAGCTGCGGAGCTTGCTTCGAGCTGAAGTGCGATAACGATCCGCAGTGGTGCCATCCCGGGAATCCATCAATCTTCATCACCGCCACCAACTTCTGCCCTCCGAACTACGCTATTCCGAGTGACAATGGCGGCTGGTGCAACCCTCCCCGCCCTCACTTCGACCTCGCCATGCCTATGTTCCTCAAGATCGCCGAGTACAGAGCCGGAATCGTCCCCGTCTCTTACCGCAGGTAAAAAACCTCTCTCTCTTTCTCAGCACACAACGGCGTCGTTTCACCACCGTTGATCTGAAACCGTTTGATTTTCCTGTACAGGGTGCCCTGCCGGAAACAGGGGGGAATCAGATTCACAATCAACGGCTTCCGGTACTTCAATTTGGTTCTGATCACGAACGTGGCCGGCGCCGGGGACATCGTGAAGGTGAGCGTGAAAGGCAGCAACACAGAATGGATGAGCATGAGCCGAAACTGGGGCCAAAACTGGCAATCGAACGCGGTTCTGGTTGGTCAGTCACTGTCGTTCAGAGTGACAGCCAGTGACCGGCGCAGCTCCACTTCGTGGAACATCGTCCCCTCCAATTGGCAGTTCGGCCAGACATTCTCCGGCAAGAACTTCAGGGTCTAGTTTTCAAACTTAATTAATTTGGTCCCTCCCGCTCGTTTTTCTTTTTGTTTGTTTCCTTTTCCTTTAATTGTGGAAAAAGGGATTTTGTTAGAGGGTGGAGTAGGAACTTTTTGACCTTGGGAAAAAGTTGGTGTTTTGTTTTGGTTTTTGAAGGAATGGGAGTGTTAGTTTTATTTGTAGTGATGAGAAATGGCTGAAAGTGGCTGCTACTCGGTATAGCCCGCAGCTGTGCTTATTATCATCAATATATATGATTTTACACAGTAATTATTTTTGCCCCTTGTTCCCTCCTTTTTTTACTGTTTTAAAATACATTTACTTCTCAACCTTAAATGTAATAATGATTATGTTTGATATAATGGGATGCTTATGTGGCTCATCATGTGTATAAATTTAAAGATTAGCCGTATGGATTCAACTTTAAGCCATTTATCTCTAACCAATAGATCATGAGTTCAAATTCCACACCCACATGTTATATAAAAAAAACTTGAGCATTTGTTCAAATTTAGATGGAATCGATCTTGAAAAGTATCAGATTTTTTAATTACCTATGCATACAAATCTATGCCCCAAAACTTGGTGGGGTGTTTGGTAATTTCTGTCAATTGATCTCTCGGATTTCGACGTCCCTAAGAGCAATTTGAGCAACACTCTTCTCATATTTCTCGGTAGTCTCGAGGAAAAAGGCTTTATAAAAATTGTTGCAAAACAAACTATGTTGAATTCAAAATCAATGAAAATGAGAATATTTTCGATACATRATATAGACAGAATTGTAAAAAAAGATCATTTTTAAAAAATTTAGGGTTTAGTTTTAATTTGGATGTTACAATTTTATCATATAGTTTAGGGGTTTGATTTTTACTATTAAAAGTTTGAGAGTTTAATTTTTTTCATTTATAAAAGTTYGAGAGTTTAATTTTGAAAAAAATTTACCAGTAAGATCTGGAAAAATAAAAAGGATAAAACTAAAAAACATTCTAAAATTATAATTAAAATTTTGTGTTATATTTGAAAATTTTAAAATACATCAAAGTTTCTGCACCTATTATAATTTCCCTTTTTTTATATATACTTTCGAGAAAATTTTGTAAGTAAAAGTTTTTTTTTTCTTTTATCTTTTCTCAATTTAATAAGTATATCACAACTTTCAATTTGATCCATCACCTCCCATAAATTATAGGAAAATTATAGGAGTAGCTCCATATTAAACCTCATTAAGTATCTTATATTTTCAATGCAAAATCTTTAATAAATAAAACCATGTTTTCTTTTTTTTATCAAAATCTTTTTTTGTATAGCATGTTCGATGGAGGTTCAAGCACCAAAATCTTTTCATGCTTATCATTATGATTTTCAAGTTTTATAGAATTTAAAATAAAATAAATTATTATTATTATTATTTTAAGTAGAAAAAATTTAGATTAGTCTTAAAGATTAAATTGTAATAGTCTTATAGTTCAAGTGTAGTTGGTTCACTTTATAATATTTTAGGATTTAATTATAAMAATTCATGAGTTTAGGAGGTAATTCATCCAATAGAAAGTTTGAAGATGTGATTGTTTTTTTTAAAACAGCATGAGGGTGGGTTTTGCAATTTTTTTATTTAGAAAATCTCTTTATTAGATGATTACCTCAACTCTAATTCAATATTTAAAAACAATTAGATAAATTATTACTTCCTTAAATATTTATATTTGTTTTAACAAATCWAAATAAAATTATTAATACAATATCATGATACATACTTAAGAAATAATCATACTTGAAGTTTAAATTATATTTTAAAGAGAAATTACACAGTTTTTGCAAAAAGTTGATGTTTTAAAAAATTTTACGTCATTCCATTTTGTTTTTCAAATATATATTAACTGTTATTTTTTTCAGTGTCTTTTATACTACAACTGAATTCCAGTTTGATTTTAATTGAGCTTCTTTTATAAAATTTCAAATTACCTGCTACATTTAAAAATACGTCTGAAATTACCTTACCTAGGAAAAAGAAGACAAAATGAYATTAATGGCAAGTATTTTTCTTACCGCCCATCTGAGAATCATACATTGAATCCCCACCCTACTTAAAAAAGAAAAATTTAAGAGTTGAATGTACGAAATAATATTGGAAGTGGTGTTCCTCGAATTTCTGCTTCTAATTAATTGCAAAAGTTTTGAGTGCTACAGATTCTTCTTCCAAAATCAAATGAATTGTTCAGATTCAAGGTTAAATCAAATGGGTGCTAATTTATCAAATAGACCCAATTTCTTAAAAATTTAGAAATAAATTTACTTATTTTCAGGGTAAATTACAAAAACCACCCTGAAGTATGATTGTTGTTACAGTTGTATCCTTAAACTTTCAAATGTAGAAATTAAACCTTCAAACTTCATAAATAAAAAAAATTAGACCCCTAACTTTTCAAGTGTAAAAATTAAACCCTACCCTACAATTTGAAGAAAAAAAAAATGAAAGTCTCTTATTCACATCTGTTCTCCACAACATCTCACAGAATGCTCAACCACTGCCACCACCAAGCCCAAGAGGCATTTTAAGTTCTAGGTTTATTAGATGATGACCTCAACTTTTTTAGTTTTCTAACTGATTTTGGATTCTGGCCTTTTTTAGGCATTTTAAGTTCTAGGTTTGTTGGACATTTCACCGTTGTAACTAAATTTTCTAATCTCCGAAATTTCAACTTAGATTTTTCTTTCACATTTTAAGGGTTTAGTTTTATCTCTGATAGGGATTCAGGGCTTTAATTTTTACTATTGAAAGTTTAGGGTCTAATTTTTTAATTTATGAAAGTTTGAGAGTTTAGATATTGCAATTGAAAATTTAATGGTTAAATTAACAACTATGGTGGTTTTTGTAATTTACCCTCATTTTTAATATGAAAAATTTTAAGGTCTAATTTAGAGAAAATATRATGATAGAGCGACACTCTGCTGTCTAAATGGTCATTGAGCTCATTTAATCGAACTAACAAAATACTTGCAATAACAATTAATATGATCACATCTAGAACCATTTAGAATCAAATAAACTAAATCACAATTTATAATTATTTTACTTGTGAAACTTATCCGAAGACAAAATAAATACCAACCTCAAATCTTTTAGAACAAAAATCATTAAAAAAGCATATTTATATGTACATTCAATCAAAGCTGATGGAAATCCCACTTTGATGGATTAAAAAATCAAACTCACTTTTATAGGAGAAAAAAAAAGATGAAAGGAAAATCAAATGAAAGAGGGGAAAAAGAAGAAAAATATGAGATGGAATCAGTAGACAAAATGGGATTAAAGAACCCATCATCTGTGGATACCATCCCTACGGTTGTCTGGCCGCTGCCCGATCGCCCAAACCCCTTGTTTCCCGGAAAATTTTGAATTTCCCGAGAGAAAAAGAGATAGAACAATCAGGCTTTCTGTATAGCATTCATTTTTCTATGAGAAAACCCACAATAAAAAGCTGTTTCCTCACATCAAACGCAACGAATGCCAGAAAATTTAAAGTATCATTCAGAAACAAGAGAACCTAGTGAGGCTTAGGGCTCATATCAAGTGTATAGAATATTTCGAAGAACCCGTCACTGTGAGAGAAAACCCTAATCCAAAAAATCGCAAGAAAATTGAAGCGAAAGAAGAAGGAAGAAGTTCGAAGATACCAATGCCGTCCTTGCGATTGGAAGGCGGCGGCACCTTGCAACGATCTTCTCCCCCATCGATCGTTTACATTTCACTCGAGAAAGTGGATCGGGGTTTTCGATTGGAACCCCACTCGAGCCTCTCTCTTTGTAATCATAGCCCACGCCTGAGAAAGATGAACTCAAACGATCAGGGCAAGCAGTTTAAAGGAAATAGCGATTACGAGTGAGGAGGAATGTGATGAAGAATGAGAAATTTTTGTTTCTGTTAATTTTGTGATTCGAAATGGCGGTGATGGCTTTGAAGAAGCGGCGAAACTCAGCTTAAATAGGCTACAAATTCAAGTGCTAGGGTTTCCTCTCCCGAATCTTGATTTAGAGATGACGACATGTCGAACTACTTTGATTGGACTCGATCAAATTTTAATTTAAGGGACGGCCGGACGACAGGTCGTTCAGCAAGGGCATCAATACTTCTAGTTTTAATGGTTATTTATTCCGAATATTTAGAGTGGGTGATCAATTAAATAGCCGATTGCGGGCGGAACAAATTAAGGGTGTTCAAAAAATCCGACAACACGACGAATACAATTCAAATCATAAGGATTGGGTTGGATTAGATGAAGTAGGTTGGGTTAGATCTCGAATTCAACCTTTAAAAAATCAGGTTAACCCAACTCAACCTGAATTTATGCATAATATACGTGTATTTTTAAAATTATATTTATATATATATATATATATATATATATATATTCAATGTCAATCGTCTATTTAGTTTTAATCATAGTCTTTTATTTAAGGTTTTCATATTATGTTCTTCTATTTTGTATATTAATCTCGATCGTCCATTTAGTTTTTATTCTAATTCTCTGTTGCTGCAGTGATAATTAAAAATTAAAAAAAAAACACACAACCCGATAACCCAACCCAAAGATATTGGATTGACCATCCAATTCAAATCCAATGGTTCCTATATATGGCCAACCTGAAAATTCGGATTGGTTTTAAAACCCTTCCTAATCCAACCCATGAAGACTCCTGTATCAAATATCTTTTTCATAAGATAGTTGAAGAGATGATTTTGAATTAATGGTGTTCTGGGAAACTGTTTATCTTGAATTTACATTATTTTAAGAAATGTATTAAAATAATATCTTGTACTTTTGACATATGTTCATTTGGATTTTCAAAACGCCAACGTTTAAATTTCGTATAAAATGAATATCAAATTGTCACTTTTGAATAAATTTTAAAAGTATAGAGCTCGGAATAAAAATTTAAAATAAACTAAAGTCATATATTAATTAAAAGTCTAAATTTCTAGATTCCACTTCACTAATTTCACCCATATAAGATTTAATGGGATGAAATTAATATTTTAATATTAAATCAACGCACTAGTCTAAATATAGGAATTCAAAACGATATATATTTTTTAAATTATTCTTATTTGAAGTATGAATCTAATAAACCTATATAACAACCTCAATGTTATTTTTTCTTTTATTTAAAAGAAAGTAGCACTTACTATTTGCGAATAAACCTACTTATCAGATTTTCTATGAACAAAATTTTATAAATCAATAAAGCCATGATACAAGTGATATGAAAGATTTTTCT